CAAGGTCTGAACAATGTTTAATATCTGTAAAAGTAAGAATCAGATTTAAAAGTTGTGTTAGACGAATAATGTCAGAAAGATGTGTGACATTTTAAAGTTGGAATGAGGTTTCTGAGTGAAAGTATGAAGGAGCAGTTAGCAGTTGAAGAAGGAGCAGTTAGCAGTTGAAGTTGCATGAAGATTGTTGAAGTCTGAAGAGTTCTCCATTGACTTCCATGTTATAAATGGGATGTATTATGGGATGTATCTCTGGAATTATGAAAGTTATGAATGATAAAAGTAATAGCCATTGATTCCCGACCGAGCTGAACGTGTTGATGTTTGAACGGAGTTTCTGCGATGTTCAATGTAGGAGAAGAAGCAGCGCAAAATAACCCGGCGGAATAATAAATAATTTTGTGCGTAGCATAACAGATAGTCCAACTGAGAGCTGTGATGAAGGCTGTTGTGTTTCTTACAGCATTTTCAAGTATCAAGCTTAATGTACCTACATTTGATTGATTTTGCTTACTTATAACTTAGCATGAGGCAAAATACCCCACCTCAAGTGAGTGGCCCAGCCCTTATATTTTTCTGTATGTGGCCCTCGGTGAAAAAAGTTTGGATCTAGAATTAAAAAAAGACTTTCATGGTCTTAGTTTATGTTTTAAATTATTATATAAGGTTATAAGCAGTACACTTTCAGGAAAGCAAATTGGTTTTGCAGTCAGTCCATCCCATATTATGGATGTTAAACATTCCTATAAATACAATTGTACTATATACAAATAAACCAATATCTTTCATTTCGAGGAATATTTAATATTATTATCCTGATGACGTTTGTGATACCCGGGAATAAAGGCGGGGCTATCCCCTGTTTCTCTCCTCCTCCCTGCCAGACACAAACCCAGACAGAGGGACAACATGGATCCGAACACGACCATCCTGCGAGTCAAGAGGAAAAGGGGGACCGACCCCGCAGATGCGCTGCTGCTGGCATGTAAACGTATCCGACCGGAGACGTCTCAAAGCTCAGGCGAGACGGTACCGGAGCCGAATGAAGCCGAGGTGGAGAACTCTGTCTTCAAACTCGTGGCGACGGTGGCGACACAGGTGAGAGGCCCGCTGCTACTAGCTAACCTAGCGCTGCAGGCTAACGTCAACGCAGCTGCCGGGGAAACCGAATATAAACGTTAATAAGCGTGTCGGTATAAGCGTTCAGACATAGTTCATTTATCTAATACAGGACAAATAATAAAAAAAACTACAATGTTGGTACTTGCTGGAAAAACAACGCGCCTTCGCCGCCTTGTATGCTATTTGTTGGTAGCATGATACAGTTAAGGCAGCGCTTAGCATTAGCCTTACATCAGACCCAAATTACATTAGCCTCCTCAACCGTTAGCTCACTTTCTTGATGTTAAACGAAGTTCTGACGTATTTACAGGCCTCAAAAAATGACATGACATCAGTCGAAGCTGTCGTAGTAGAATAGTTAATTTGAATACACAATGTCAAACATGTATCTCATCACATAAGCTAAGTAACATTAGCTTAATTGGTAAACATATGTTGGTATATTACAAGGTCTGCACTTTTTTATTGTAATGTTATTACAAGTGAAGTTAATTTCTGCTTTTTACTTGTATAGCAACATGCTAACTGGTCATTGTGGTTCTGCTCACTGACATTTTAAGAAAGTGTGTGTTCTTGGTGATGTAGTGAGGATTGAGTTTGGTGAAATGTGTTGATACCTGCCATTTCCTTAAACTTCTAGGCAGGAAAATCACATTTCTTTGTATTGCCGGGTTTAATATCTGTAAATTCTCACCTTTTGTCTTCTTCACCAGGATGCTCCGGTGCAGACACAGGTGCGACAGGCTTTGGCTCGGCCCCGCATGGCCCACGCTCTGCGGCCCTCTGCTGCCAGTACACAGCGGATACTGGGGGACCTGAGGAGCACGAAGTGGAGCACCCGGAGGGAAGAACGCTACAGGATACTCTCCAGCCACCGCACAGGGCTGCCGGCCCCAGCAGAGCAGCAAGCACCCCTGACAGAAGCTTCAGAGGGCGGAGAGGATTCTGGGAAAGAGCAGGACAAATGTCTGGGTCTTGGTGCCATCCAGGTGGTCGACCTCCTTCATGAGGATGACGAGAACCAGGATAAATCTTCAGGCAAGGTGAGTTGAACTGTATTTTAGCTGGCAACAAAGCTTAAAGTGGACCTATCATGCTATATTTGAAAAATATATTGTAGGGCCATACCTATATAAAACATGTCTGTGAAGTTTTTGTTTTTTTAAATACCAAACAGATCATGCATTTTAGCCATGCCTGATTTTGCTCTATTTGCTCTTTTCCAGCCCTGTTTTTGCAAGGGTTGATTCTGCTTTTGTGGCAGACTACAGCGCCACTTACAGGCCCGGCATATGTACTACAGCGTCTCCAGCACTTTCGAGCGGTCTCTCATTCCCCTGATAGGTGGAGAGTTGCCCATATAGGCGGAACACCCCTTTTCTGACGTCAGAAAAATTCAAATAATAATCAGCTCCGTTGCAGCCCCGTCTTTAGAGATTTGGGTATGGAGGAAAAGAGAGAGGGTTGTGTTTTCTGACACTTGGTGAGTTCCCTGACACACCGGGGACTAATGTTGCACGGTGTACCGATACTTGAAAGGTACTGCGATACCCTGCCGTTAAAAATGTTACGGTTCCTCCGTTTCATTAGTATCGGTACTTTAAGAATGACAGGGAAAAGTGATAAAGCGCTGTTTTAATAAGAGCCGTGTGTGTTCTTGTCATTTTTTTATTTATAGTTCTCATTGTTTGAACGTTTGTGTTATGGTTCTGGTGTGAAATAAAGCATAATAATTACATTTAAGACTGTTTCCCTTTTTTTAAGAAAACTATCAAAAAAGAATTGCAATTCTTGACTTGGTATCGAAACCAAAATCTTGGTATCGTGACAACACTAATTGAGAGAAC